TTGGTGGCCGTATTGATGCGCACTCTCTTGTCCTCCCCCGCCACATACTCGTCCGTCACATGACACGTCTGGACACTCGGGCCCCGCGTGAGTGCAAGAGGCCAGGGCAGGCGGGGGCACCTGGACACCTGCAGGGACCAAGTGGACTCAGGTCTTGCTGTGCCCACTGTCCCCCGAGGCCAGGCTCACAGCCTCCTCCGCGGTCCCCAGAGGTCCCTGAGCAGCCCCTCTGGGCAGCCCGCTGGCCTTTCCTGGGTCAGAGGGGCCCAGGCCTAGAGGCTGGGGTCAGGGGGCGTCACCCCTCACTGAACGCGGGGCTTTCTCTCCGCCCTCGTAGGAGGTGTTCCGTCGGCACCAGGGGCTGCAGCTCCTGGCCCTGGTGGAGGGGGCGCTGCCCCGCCACGGCCGCAGCCACCACGGGGACTGGCACATCTCCCTGAGCAAGCCCAGCGAGAAGGAGCGGCACCTGCTGATGACCTTGGCGGGCGAGCAGGGTGAGTGGGGGCTGCGGGGAGGGCAGGCTGAGTCCCAACTGGACTCCCTGGTTCAGGGTTCAGCGATGCCCACAGGCCTGGGTTCTGGAGAGGAGGAGGGTGGACCCTGGTCGGGAGGGAGGCGCAGGCCCATGTACTCTGTGTGGTCGGGGAGGGGCCATGAGTGTGGCTTCTGGAAGCCACACCCCTCCACAGGTGGGCCAGCGGGTGGGCAGCAGGTACGGGTCATGGGCTGCGTGGGCTCCAGGGTGGGGAGTGAGGCTCGGAGGCGGCTCAGACGGGGGTCCGAGGGTCAGGAGCCCGAGGACCTCTGGGGCCAGGGCTGTGCTTGATGGTGCGTTTCCCCAGGGGTGGTGCCCACTCAAGACGTCCTCTCCATGCTGGGCGACATCCGCAGGAGCCTGGTGGAGGTAAGAGCGCGGCCATGCTCCCTGCACCCCTAAAACTCTGGGGCGGGGCTGCCTTCCCTGAGGCGTGAGGGCCTGAGTGGCGGGGTGCGGCCTCAAGCAGCTCTGGACAGCTCCTGTCTCCGGTCTCGGAGGCCCAGCTCCCGAGGAGCACGGAGCTACCAGCTGCGGTGCGTGCGACATGTGACAGCAGGCGCAGACCCAAGCCGTGGAGGGAGGTGGTCAGGAGAGGACGCAGAGGGAGGGGCCCCCCAAGGGGATCTTGGAGGGTAAGCGGAGTTCTTTGGTGGACGGCGGAGAAGCGCCACGTCTGGCCAGGAAATCGTGCAGAAGCCTGGTGGGTGAGGAGAACGTGGCGCAGTTCCCAAAGGCACAAAAGAAAGTGTCACCAGGCACTCCCGACTGAGAGTCGTGGCGCTGGGCCAGCTCGGGGGCCCCGGGGCGGGGTGGGGTGGGGGCGGCCCAGGCAGTCCACCGCCCACCTGGCCGGCCCCAGGGACCTGGGCTGAGGAGACAGGCTGGCCGACCTCTACTCCAGATCCACCTTCCCCAGAGGAGGAAGTGCAGTTCCTCACCTCCCGTCTTGAGGACAGCCCGTGTCCTCCAGGCCCCGTCCACTCACTGGAACCCAGGGGCCTTATCAGTCCCCTTAGTTCTCGAGAGCTCTGCAGTATTTGTTTTTTTGGTTTTTTAAATTTATTATTTATTTATTTTTGGCTGCGTTGGGTCTTTGTTGCTGTGCACGGGCTTTCTCTAGTTGCAGCGAGCGGGGGCTACTCTGTTTTGGTGCGGCGGCTTCTCATTTTCGTGGTTTCTCTTGTTGCGGAGCACAGGCTCTAGGTGCACATGCTTCAGTATTTGTGACACGCGGGCTCAGTGGTTGTGGCTTGCGGGTTCTAGAGTGTAGGCTCAGTGATTGTGGCACACGGGCTTAGTTGCTCTGCGGCTTAGTTGCTCCATGGCATCTTCCCGGACCAGGGCTCGAACCCGTGTCCCCTGCATTGGCAGGCGGATTCTTAACCACTGTGCCACCAGGGAAGCCCCCTGCAGTGTTTTTAGTTTGCTTTTTATATATTTATTTATTTGGCTGTGTTGCGGCATGAGGGATCTTTAGTTGTGGCATGTGAACTCTTAGTTGTGGCATGTGGGATCTAGTTTCGTAATGGAACCCAGGCCCCCTGCATTGGGAGTGTGGAGTCTTAGCCCCTGGACCACCAGGGAGGTCCCTCGATAGCCCTCCAGTGTTTGTTGACAGAGCTGAGGCACCCGTGCCTGTGGGCCCCACCTCCTTATCTAGTCCACGCCAGGCTGGGGGTGGCCTCCGTGGTGGTTTGCGGCTTTTTGATAAGTGTGCTGGGTTCTCTCACTCGGCCCTGAGCACCACCCCGGGGTTGTAAGCAGTAAATAAGGCCTCCTGTTGAGTACCGTAGGTGCCCCGTTTAAGACGGGAGCTGAAACCCAGAGCAGGGAGGTGACTTGCCCAAAATGGCACAGCTAGTGCGTGGCTGAGCCAGGCTTTGGACCAGGCCTGAGAGATTCAAGAGCCCGGACCTTTCACCGTGATGCTGTATCTACACCACCTGGGTAGCCATGGGGGGCCGGTCCAGTTGTGAGCTTTGGGGTTCATGAACACTGGGTGGCTGGTGGAAAGTTGGGTTTAACCTTCTTTACAGACCCTTCTGCTTCTCCCCTCCCCTGGGTATTCTGGCTTTACCGGACGTTTCATTCAGACTGATTCGGCCGAAAAGCATGTTGGGTCTTTGGACATATATTAGTGGGCAGATTTAGCACGTGCATTGGTGGTGAATCTAGCAGGAGAACTGAGCCTTGATAACTTAAAAAAGTGAATAGAGAAAGTACTGGAAATATACAGGTGGTTCACAGGACGAAGAGCTAATACCTGGCTTTAGAAAGCGGACTCCCAGGTCTCTGCGCCGGAGCCAGTGGACGGCACCCTCACCCTGGCACCTGTCCTCTGATGGTGGCAGCTTGCCTTTCCTGCTTTCCTCCACCCGAGATGCTGATTGTGGAGAGTGTCTGCCTGACCCGGTGGAGACAGAGCAGACACTTGGCCAGAGAAGGCCGCCCACTCAAGGCAGCCCGCAGTGTCGGGGGTGCGGGGCAGCTGAATGACACTGGTGGCCACTCCAGTGGGAAGGAGGAGGAAGCTGGGAGACTGGGGGTGGCCGAGGACGTGGACCATCCCCAGCCCCCCCACGCACGCTCTCTGGCCCACAGTGGCCATAATGATGCCGGGACACGCCTGCCCCCCAAGGTAGAAGGTGTGTCCGCGATTCCTCGCGGTGTGTGGTGGAGAACGTGAGGAGAGAGGCGCACCGCTGCTCGTGTCCTTTTTCAAGCTGGTGGGGACAGTGTGGATTGTGACGGCCGGCATGGGGCCAACCTCAGTGGGGGGCTAGGGCCACCACCAGGTGGGTTTAGGGCCAAACGTCGCCTGCAGCGGGGTCAGAGCCACTGCGGGCTTGTGAGTAGTCTGGGGATGGAGGCGCCCTCAGGCAGCGTGGGGTGGGGATCGGGCAGGGTCCTCGCCGAGCACAGGTCCAGCCAGGCCTCTGAGGGAGCTTGTTCCAAGCCTGTTCTCCGTCCCTGAGCTCCGACCCCAAGGGCCCCGTGGGGAGCCCTGGCACCCTAGGATCTCGGCTAAGGAACCCGGCCCCTCCCGCCCCCAGATTGGCATCCAGAACTACTCCACCACCAGCAGCTGCCAGGCCCGGGCCAGCCAGGTACGCAGCGACTACGGGACGCTCTTTGTGGTGCTGGTGGCCATCGGCGCCATCTGCGTCATCATCATCGTGCTCGGCCTGCTCTATAACTGCTGGCAGCGCCGGCTGCCCAAGCTGAAACACGTGGTGAGCGAGCGTGGAGCCCAGTGGGGCAGGGGGCTGGGCCGCGGTGGTGCCGGTGAGGGGGTGCCCAGCAAGCTCAGGCGTCTGAGGCTCAGTGTCCCCATCTGCCTGTGGGGTGACTGTGGGTGAGGCGCTAGTGCAGGGCCTGGCCCCCAGTTGCCCTCTGCAGGGCGCCAGCCTCCCATTAGGTGCTGGAGGTGCAGGGAGTGGGACGTTGGCTGCACCCGCAGGGCCGCTGCTGGGGGGTGCGGGTGGCCTTGCAGGCCTGGGCTCCTGTGGATGCCTCACCAGACAGGCCCTGGCTTGGGGTCTTGGGGTCAAGACGAGGCTCCAGCAGCCTGGCAGCTCCCCCCAAAGGAGGGGCCAGGGCACAAAGCTCCTGTTTCCCGTGAGTCCCTTTAGAAGGGGTGGGTGGTGGTGGGAGGGATCAGATGGTGTCAGGGAGACCATGGGTCTGTTCCGTGCGCAGGGTCAGTAGTCATTTTAAGAAAGGAGCTGAGCTGTGGACCCAGAGCCGAACGGGCCTGCGTCCATCAGGGTCCGCTGGGGTTCCCTGCGTGCGGTTTCGCCGGCCTGAGGACCGGTGAAGGGATGAAGCGGGGGCGGCGGGGGCCCGGCGTGCTCTCCCAGCGGCCCCTCCCGCCGCAGTCGCACGGCGAGGAGCTGCGCTTCGTGGAGAACGGCTGCCACGACAACCCCACGCTGGACGTGGCCAGCGACAGCCAGTCGGAGATGCAGGAGAAGCAGCCCAGCCTGAACGGCGGCGGCGCCGTCAACGGCCCGGGGGGCTGGAGCGCGCTCATGGGGGGCAAGCGCGACCCCGAGGACTCGGAAGTATTCGAGGAGGACACGCACCTGTGAGGGGCTGTGCCCCGCCCGGCCCTCGGCGCGGGGTCCCTGCTTTCCCCCGACTCACCACGCACCTCGGCCTCATCCCCGTCCCCACCCGACGCCCCGAGGGGCTGCCCCGGGACCCCATTAAAGCCGCCCGGAGAGCACGCCGGGCCCCGCGCCTCCGCCTGCGCGACTGGTTCTTGCGCTTGGGGGTGGAGTGGGGGGGAGAACGTGTGTGATAAACGGGGGCGGTGGACTAAGGGGAGGGGCGGGGCGGGCGCCTCCGCGGGCGGGGCGGAGCGGCGGGGCGGGGCGCGGCGCGGCGCGGCGTGTTTATATCCGGCGGGGCTTCGCCGCTGCCCTGGGGTCGCCGGGCCGGGGTCGGGGACGTCCGCGCCATGGATACCTGCGACCTGTTCTCCAGCTGCAGGAAGGGGGACGTGGGCCGAGTGCGGTGAGGAGCCGTGGCCCTGCGGAGGGTGTGAGTGGGCCGCCCGCGGAGCGCCTGGCCGGGTTGCGGGTGGGGGACGGGGGCGGCCCGGGCGCCGAAGCAGGACCGCCCCGGTCCAGACAGCTCTCTGAGCGGGGGCGCGGGGCTCGGGTGCTGGCCTGACTCCTTCCGGGGGTCCCGGAGGGGAGGACTGACACGCGGGTGCCCGGAGGAGGCGGAGAGGGGCAGAGAGAAGAGAGGGGCCCGGAGGTCAGACCCTGGGGGCAGGCCTGGGACGACCCCGACGTGTCTCCTCTGATGAGCTGCGGACCCCGCCCTGGGAACGCCTGTGGCCCGGAACCAGTCTCTGGTTCTCAGCAATTCGGGAACTCCTAATTGCGGTTGACGCAGCCCGGATGCTGCTGCAATCGCCGTCTCCGCGGGCCGCACGGGGAGGGGAGGGGCTGCTGATGTGGGATATGAGGCACCTGTTTTCCTTCCCCCATTCCCTGGTCCCGACCTCCCCTGGCGTCCTCCCCTGGGCCAGTCGGGGATTTCCTGAGCCCCGCAGCTTCCCCGGGCTCCTCCCCAGGGTCGGGTGACACTTGGGAGTTAGTTGGTAGCCCCCAGAGTGTGGTGCACTCTGAGATCCAACCTGGGCGTCTCCTCGAAGTGGTTTCCTGTCCATCACCATTCTTGGTGGTCTCCCCTCACTCGTCTCTTCTGCTGCCTTGTTTCCTGACTCCCGCCTTCTATAATCTGTCCGTTTTTCGTTTCCATGCTGCCAGGACGCCTGCAACTCTCCTGGTCGTCCTGTCCATCTCCAGTCCCTCTGCCCTGGGAAGGCTAACCTGCCACCCCATGCAGCCGGAGGGTTCGGGTGGAGGCAGGGCCCCACCCCCTCCTCCTCCCTCCCTCCCTCCCTCCCTCCCGCAAGCCTTCAGCCCAGATGCTCAGCCTCTTCACCCCTGGGGTCTCTGATGCCCAGGGGCTCCC